GCCGCCGCCTCCCCGGGCTCCCCTGTGCTGTCGGAGCCTTGCGCGCCCCTCCACTCGGCTCCTCTCCCCAGCCTGAATAAGCATCGGGGCTCTCTGGCTGCCTCCTTCTGCCTTCATACCAGAGCCCGGAGAGGCCCCTGTCAAAATAAGAGCTCCCCCATCTCGCTCGACTCCTCGCCCAACCCGGCTCCCCCAGCCTCCCAGTGGTCTGACTCGGTAAGGCGCCCGGCCGGCTGGTGGGAGGCAGGTTGGCCCGGGGGTGGGGAGGGGAGCTTCTATCCGGCTCTCTTCCCCATTCCTGAGGATTTGGGAGGAGACGCGCCAGCCGCATCATAGGCTAGAGAAGTCTGACAAACCTACCCTCCAATCTGCAGGGATTGGAAGGAGTAGTGGAGGGAGGAGGAGTGACACACACACACACACACACACACACACACACACACACACACACACACACACGGCACTGGATCCCCTCTTCATTGTAACCACCCACATCCATTATGCATTGAGCATCTCTTTATTCATCTTTCTTTCCTTGTAGACCATGAGGTCCTTCAGGACACATGATTTTTTTCGTCTCAATCCTCAGCAGCTCCAGCAGATGCTAAGAAATTATTTCTGGGAGAGAAACCTTTTCTTCTCCAAAGGACCCTCTCTTAATTCAAAAATCTACACACAGACACACACACACCACCTCAAGGCAGTAGACGCATTGAAGAAGATTGTAAAAAATTTAAATTTTAAAAATACATCTCATGTGTTATGTCAGTATTTCCTACAAACTTGCAAGAAAGCTGTTATGGTTCCATTACACAGGTAAGGAAACTGAGGCTTGCATTACCTAAGCCATACTCAGGTTACCTGGCTACAGCGCTAAGCCCAGAACACAATTTGGTCTCCCATGCCAGAGCACAGTTGTTTGTCACTGCTCCAACAACAAGTGACAAGCACAGACTACTTCGGAAAGCAGGACTCCTTCCTGTTTCCTGTACCCCCAACTCACAGGTGGAACTCCAGACAGTTCCCACCCTAGTGACCTCCCTCTTCCATTTATCACTTCTGTACCAAGCACCTCTGCACTTGTGTGCATCTTTTGTCTTGTTTCTCCTGTGTGTACACCTGATGGACCCAAAAAAAGTTCGTGAGGGTCCAGACCATGTTTCTGTCCTCTGTGTTCCCCACAAGACTGATTCAGCAGCCAGCTGTGTTCCTTAGAGGGACTTCAGTTAGTACTGACTTGGGCTGATGGTGCCAGATACTGGGCACTGGGCAAGGTCTGGTGAGGCCCAACTAGGGGAAGGGACAATGTAAAGGTGACATCACAGAAAGAAGGTAACACTAATCTTTGTGTGCACCTAACACACTGGGTTTACAAAGCACTTCATGTACATTCTCTCTTGAGCATGCTTTAATCCAATCAACAAACTTCCTCAAGTACAGTACCTACTAAGTGCTGGGCCAAACCCTCTGTGAGGCAGGCTAGGGGTTGAATCATCAATTCCATGAAATAGGTCTTATCTTCATTTAAAGGGAAGGAACTGAAGCCCAGAGGCTGAACTCTGTTGTGAAAGGCTAGTGCTAGGACCCAGGAAAACAGGGTTTGACTTCTTTCCCCAGAGTCTAAGGTATAGAGTAGGCCACAAGGCAGAAGGCTTGCTTTTCAAAGAGGGTGTTTGCTAGAAGGGTCCGCTCCGTCTATGCGGGTTGGACACGTAGATATCAAGCCACAGGATCCCTTTGGTACAAGCCCCATTCATAGTAGGTCCAGGAAGCAAGGTCTGTAAGGGTGAGTGGTGGCTGGGTGGTAAGGGATCGAAGAAAATGTGTTCCACAGTGAAGTTCAGGAATGTTCAGTATGTCCTGTGGAGCGCTCTCCTGGGCGGGGCTCTGACTCATTCCTCCAGCATAGGTTCCAGGTCAGGACGTCGAGACGGAGCTCTGGGCAGCTAGGAGTTCTGGGTGGGACCCTGGAGAGAGAGCGGAGGAACGAAGAGAGAGGCGAGCGGCCCTTTGCGGGAATAGAGCGGCTCCCTCTACTGGCAAACTCGGAGAGGCACCGTGTGTTTCCGGGTATCTGTGTGTCACTGTGTCACAGGGCTGTCACAGGTGTGTCAGCCGGCGTCAGGGTCAGCGTTTGTCGGTGGACGTGCTGGCGTGGGTACGGTGTGTGAAGATGGCTGATTGTGTCTCACTGTGGGTGTGCCAGCTCCACGCTGGGCTTTTTCTGGAAACACAGTAGGTGCACACAACCGCATCTTTGCAATGCGATTTACTTCGGGGCTAGGGGATGCAGGCGGCCCTAGGGCTGCTTATTGTAGGGGCCTCAGCATCTTCCTGTTTCTGGGGTAACTAGAACGAACAGATCTTCCTCCTGGCGCTCTTCACCAGCTCGTGCCCTAGCCGGAGAAGGTAGGAAGAGTTCTGGTCCTGAGAGTTCCGGGGAAGGGATTCTATCCCCTAAAGCAGCTGGGACCAAAGAACGGGTTAAACTGGAGCCCCACAGTGACTTCAATCATTGGTTCAGGGCCTTGTCAGTCAGAGTTCTGGGGGCGGGGCTTGCGAGGCGGCAGTTGGTTGCCCAGCGCCCCTTTCTTGCCCCTCGACCCCCCACATCATTTCACTGCTGCGCCCACACCCCCATCCTGGTGGAGACTCCTGCCTGTGCCCTAGAGGAGGAGCGGATCTGGGCATCTTGGCTTCCCCTCTCACTCCAGCTGCCTGGCTTCCTGATAGATGGTGATTATTATATAATAGACTTGCTGGACAGAACCTTGCCAACCCTGGAACACTTTGCCCCCTCCTCGAAGCCTGCCCTAGCGCCTGGCCCCCCTAGTGCCTGCTGCCCGGCTTTGCCAGCGCCCGCAGCACCGCCTCCATCCTGGGGAAGGGGACCCCAGGGCCACCTTCCCTACTGGCCCGAGGCTGCGTCCTCGGACTGGGCGGGCGCCGGGCAGGGAGTCGCGCCGGGGCCCCGCAGGTCTCCGGGTCGGCCTGCGGTGTGTGGCTCTACCAGCGCTGGTCTAAGATTTGTGGGATCTTCCTGGCTCCCCTCCAACCTGAACTTGGAACCCGGGAGCCAACAGTGGTGGGGCTAGCGGACGCTGAGGCCAGGGTCGGAAAGGGAAAGGAGTTCGGAAAAGGTGCGGGGGCTGGAAACCAGAGGCTGGTAGAGGGGGCCGCCAGGGGCAGGGGGGAGGGACTCTTATCCTGACAGGGCTCCCGCCTTCCCCGACTGGAGGGTTTGGAAAAACTGAGCAGGCAGCCAAGGCTTGGCTGGAAATCCTGCAGCCCACCCTTCTGAGGACACAAAGCTGGAGGGCGGGGGCAAGGCGGGGGAAGACAGCACGACCCGGGGAGGGCAGGGCCTCTTTTGGGGCTGGGGGCCCAGGGGCCAGGTCCCTGGGGAGGAGGTTCCTGGCGCTGTCTCCCTGCAGTTGGCTTCCCCCCACACCGCCCTCTTCCCCCGCCTCTCCCCTCCTCCTCTCGCCGGCTCCAGTCTTGCAGATTGCGGGCAGACTTAACTCCTTGCGTGCCAGCTCGGTGCCTCCGAAGTGGTGATGCCGCGAGGAAAGGAGGGACGGACGGAGGGACTCCAAACCCCACTCCCACCCACAGTTTAACACCTTATGGCCTGGAACGCAATCCCGGAGCTTGGACTGGTCAGAGTCCTAAAAGGCTGCAGGGCCCTGGGGGAGCATCCCGCAAAGCCGGCACCTGGCAGCGTCAGGATCCAGTCTGCTCTCCTACCCAGTGTCGCCGTCCTTTCCCCACTCCCACACTCTGTGCCTCTCCTGCACTCTGCTACCCTCTCAGCACCTTCTAGCCTGGGCGGAGGCCCTGACTGATGCGGGAAGCTAGGTGCCTGGGCTCTGCCCGAAACGCCTCCTATACGTGCAGCCTCCAAGGCCCCAGCTCAGGTGACCGCAGCCTTTGCCTCTTTTGCAGCCAGAGGGCTGCCACACATCCCAGGGAAATGCTCCCCGGACCCATCTAGGGCCAAGACCTGAATCCCTGAAAACCCTTACTTAGCCTCTATCGTAGCCCCTCCGATAGGCGACACCCCCGCCTCTGGCAGACTTGCCCCCCAGTTCTGCCGAGAATTACTGCCTGAGGAAGGCACTTAAGACTCGCCAGGAAGGGGTTAATAAGAGACACCGGCTCTACGTGGGAGCCAGGTGAGGCACCGCCTATCTTGGCCTCAGGTGCCTGAGGGTGGGGAAGGAGGGACGCTGACCTTAAGGGCTGCTTTTTTTGCCCCCTGGTGGTCAAATCTGGCTTAGCAACCGCCGGCAAAAGTGTGCTTGCTAGGGGTTCGCGGAAGAAGGACGTGGGAGACGGGGAGTGCTCCTTCCAGGGAACAACACCTTCCGAGGGACAACACCTTCCGAGGGAGAGAATCCCTCTAGAAGCAAAGTAGGAGCCCCAAGACCCTTGCCAAGACATCCCCATGCAGCAGGGTGCCTCAGCCCCTTCCTGATCCTCGCCTTAGGGACTCTGCTCTTGGGTCTTAAGCGCCCAGACACCTGAAGGGGGCTGGAAAAATGCAGAAGACTCAGGGTCTGTCCTTCCCACGCCTCCATCTAACAGATGGGATCTGCAGTGGGAGCTGGCTCTCCTCTTGTTCTTTGTGCTCCAGGCCTTCTCAGGCTCCCATTACAGCTGGACCCGCAGCAAACACATTCTTTTAACAAGGTTCAAATCTCTGGCCCGCTACCTTGTCCCTTCAGCTTCCCACCCGCTCTAGTCAAGCTGTTTCTCCCCATCAAAATAAATCGCTTGAGTCTAGGAACTCATAGTCACTTCCTCTTATTCCCAACACCATTGAAACCCCTCTTGCCATCTACTCAGAAGCCTTCCCAGGTCAGCAAAGAAGATGTGGTAGAAGGGCCCCTCCACCTCCCATTGCCTTACTTCCTTCCCCTCCTCCTCTCCACTCTTAAGATTTCCCTTTGCCCAGGCAGTTCACTGACAGGAGACTCTGTTCCTTACACGCTGTACCTAACTCACCACTTTCCTTGTCTTCCGGAACACTTCTCTGATCATTTTTGCTTACTTGTTCATTCAACAAATATTTATTGTGGGCCTATTATGTGCCTTGCACTGGACTAACCACTAGATATATGTTGGGGACAAATAAGGTTTTCTTTGTTTTTGTTTTTGTACCGGGGATTGAATTCAGGTCCTTGTACTTGCAAGGCAGGTGATGGAACCTTTGAGCTAAATCCCTGGCCCAGGGACAAATAGTTATGGTCCTCCTTACAGAGCTGACAGCCTAATTGGGAACAGACAAATAAATAGGACTTTAATTCAGTGTGATGAGGACTTGGGGAACAATTAGGACAGATCTGACTCTGGACTTGGGAGTCTGCAACAGGGACCAGCATCTGAACTGAGGTTTCTGCCGCCTTGGGAGTAGTTCTAACCAGACATATGGGCGCAAAGCTCATACCAGCTACCTTGAGAAGATACATCTCCCTGGAAGTCTAAAGATAGAACAGGATCCCAGTGAGAGAGCACAACCAGATGTTGTAAGACATCTCTAAGGCCGAGTTCCTGTACAACCCTTCTAGTGAGTTCTCCAAGTCACAAAGGAAAGAAGACTGGTCTGAGTCCAGAATATGTGGCTGCTGCTCTGTGGGCCTTGATTTCTTCAAATGTTAGAAGGAAGAATTGGATACCTTTAGCTCCTAGATCTTCTTTAGCCTGGAGACAGAATGGGCTTGTTGAGAGAAAAACACTCACTGAGCTCTGATCTGCATGAGGAAGACAAGAGTTCTTAAACCCAGAAGAAGGGCTGGGGTAAAGCTCAGTGGTAGAGCACATTCTTAGCATGTTCAAGGTCCCAGCTTTGATCCCCACTGCCACTAAATGAACAGAAAACCAAGGAGAAACTGTCAGAGGCAGGGCCACATAAAAAGTCACAGCCAGTCAATTACCTCCCAGGGTGGTGGAAGATAGTTGAGTCCTGGGGCATATAATTCTTGCCATGTAAGTCTTTTGTTTTTGTTTGTTTTGTTTTCTGAAACAGGGTCTCACTATGTAGCTCAAACTGGCCTTGAACTTGCAATCCTCTTGTCTCAGCTTCCCATGTGCTAGAGTTACAGAAAGGTACTACCACACCTGGCTTCTTTCCATTTAATTCTTGTACTAAAAACACAAGCCTATCTGAGATCATGCTGAGCAGGGAGCATTGAGGGACAGCACTCAGAATGGATTTAGTTACTGCCCTAATATGCTCTTACACGTAGCACTATGGAACTGTTATTTTTAAGAGATGGGAGATTAACATGGTGGTGAAAGGCCTTGCTTAAAATCACATGGCTGGTGAGTGATAGCTGGAGGAAGGGCCCAAGCCTTCTAATCCCCCATGCAGACTCTTTCCACAGTACTGCTGCAGCACTTGTTTCCAACTTTCCACTGGACTTCTTCCTGTTTCTGGCTCATTTCCCTATGAGGCCAAAAGATGGAGAAAGGCAGGCTTGGCCTCCTTATCTGGACATCCTTCAGAGCCAGAGGGTGGCTGAGAACTCCCAGTCTCCTGGGTCACTCTTTCTCTCTACATGACCCTATTTATATCCATGTTGCTCTGTGGATCACTCCAAAAAGGCATCCCTGTGTTGTGGGTGAGGCCTTGAGCCAGGCAGAGTCGAAGTCCCAGCCAGGCCTAAAAGCTGCTCAGTGATTTTGAGCAAAGTGATTCACCTCTCTAGGCCTTCCATTCTTCATTCTAACTCCTAGGGCATTGGCAACTTGAAATCCCAGGGTAGAAAGCATGTTTAAAGGCACCGCTCTGATGAAGGGAATAGGCCTCACATCTCTCTCTGACTCTGCAGGATCTTACCGCCTCAAAACCTTGTGTGCTCAGTCTGTAGGGACGAACATGGTGCTTCCTGGGCGCCCACTTCCTGGATTATACTAGGTCTTGTGAAAGTGAGAGGACATGTGGGCTAAATATGTTCTGTGCTCCTACAATCCAAAAACCAGCAATAGCAGGGTGTGGTGGCACAAGCCTGTAATCCCAGCACTTGGGAGGCTGAGGCAGAAGGATCACTGTGAGTTTGAGGCCATTCTGTGCTACATAATGAGTTTAAGGCTAGCCTAACCATATGATGAGACCCTGTCAGTTTTTCCTTCTATCTCTATCTAGAAGGTAATTCATTTCAGAACTCACAGCCATACCTTTTCAAACTCCCTTTCCCCTGCTTCTCTTTGCCTCACCTTGTAGCAAGCAGTTACAAGCAATTACCATGTAACTCGGTGAACTTCAACCCAGCCCCTCTGTCTTCTGTACTCAACAGGGCTTTTCCGTCTCCCTTGCCCACTGCCATCTCCCTATGCAGTAGATTGGTACAGCCTCTCAGATTCTGTTCTTTTCCTTTTTTCTTCCCCCATTACTGACATTCTCCAGAGAAAGTTGCCTTCCTTCTCCCTCCATAGTCCTGTCCCTTTCACCTGTCCTCCCAGTTCTGTATTACAAAAGTCCTGGAAGGAACAGGCTGAGACATGATTTCAACAACAGCTGAGGGATAAAATTACCTTGGGGGGTGGGGAGGCAGGGTGGAAGAAGGCTGGAGCAGTCAATGACTAGTAAGCTTTTATCCTGTAACAGATAACATCAGCACTTGCCCTCAAGGAGCATATCCAGTGGGAACAATGAAACAACAAAGGATTCTAAATGATGAAATGATGCAGTCTACGCAGTCAGTGCAGGATGCCTCCTTAGACATGATGGAGAATGGGAAAACTGGCCTGGGTCTGGAGAGAGAGGTCAGGTAGGTGCAGGGGAGCAGAGGGGTCTGGGTGAGGGGCACCATAAGTGCAAAGGCAGAACAATCACAGATCCTAGTGGGAGTGGACCTCCAAAACTGACTACCCTCTTCAAAATCCTTGCGATGCTGAACTCTCTGCCAACGTTTCAGGCAAGCAGTGTCCCAGAATCATCTTGAACACCTCCAGCCACAGGGAGCTGATTGCTTCCTAAGGCAACCTGTTCTGGTTAGGAACATCCACTTTTCCTTGCTTGGGGTGAACTCTCTCCCTGTGGTCCACGTACCGCATCGTGGGGGTCACACAATGTAAGTCGGATTCGTCTTCTTCATAACCCTTCACCTACTGGCACTCTAGTGACAACTGACTCTTCTCTTCTTTGGTTGAGAGATTTCCAGTTCACCAAGTAGTTGTTTCTGTGGTAACACCTAGCCAACTCAGAGTTAGGCAGGAGGATCTAACTTTTCCTTTATTCCCAACATCGGACCTCCTCTAATACAGCTTAAAATTGAATTTGCTTTTGGCAACTACATTACACTGATGACTCAGACTGAACTTACTAACACCTGATTCTTTTTCACTGGAATTGTTTCTAAACCATGTCCAAGCTATTGTGTGCTAAGGTCCTATAAAGACCTCTCATTATTTCACTTTGTTAGGACTGATTTTTTCTGATCCTTATCTCACCTTTTAATGGTAAGATAAAGATTGTATGTGATTTTAGATCTCTCCAGGCTTATGTATTAGATCTTCATATAAGCTGTTAACAAAAATATCTAACAGGACCAAACCATAAAGCATATGTCCTTCTGGTCAATACCAAGTCACATCACACTGAGAAACAGCAAGGTATATGTGGGTAGAAGTGTTTGTTGATGACGTAAAATCAGACCATCATGAGCCTCAAGAAGGAGAGTGTAAGAATAAGGAAATAAGGCTCAGAGACTGAGGCTTAGCCTTGGGGCCCTGCAAGGACCTGGGACTCTCCTGTGCTGGGAATCCTGGCTTTGTGGAGGTCTGTGCAGGCTTAGGGGAGAACCATACCCAGGCATCCCACGATGCTCTGGGAGCCTGGCTCTAGAGATGCATGCAGGTTCCAACAGCTCCCAGAGGCTGTAGTCCCAGCAGCCCTGCCTCCAACCTCCCTTTAGCAGCTGAGCCATAATGGTGCACATGAATGTCCTGGCTGATGCTCTCAAAAATCGTCAATAATACTGGAGAGGCAAATGCATGTCCTTATTAGAAGCAGGCAGCAAAACCACTGAGCTAAATCCCCAGCCCCCAGGTCCTTATTAGGCCATGCTCCAGAGTCATCCTCTGGGCCAGGCATAGTGGCACATGCCTGTAATCCTGAAGCACTTGGGAGGCTGAGGCAGGAGGATCACTGCAAGTTTGAAGCTAGTCTGGACTATACATAGTGAAGTCAAGGCCAGCCTGAGCTACACAGGAAGACTCTGTCTCAAACCACAGCTCCACACACACTCATCACAGACAGAAACCCAGGCAGGGACTTCAGCCACCCTCTGAGACTCAGCCTCTCCTGCTGCATAGAGCAGGAGGCAGCATCAGAATGCAATGTGAACATATCTGGGCAGCTCCTGGCACAAATTCTGTCACATAATAGGTTCTTATTAAGTGGCATGTCCCTTCTGATAGATTTTTTTTTCCTTTTGGGGAATAAAAATGATATTCAATGTAAAAAACAAAAAACATAAAAAGACCCTGTCTCGAAAAAAACAAAACAACTATAGGCCAGTTCCAAAGAACTGGCAGCTGGGCTAAGTAGCAGAAACTTCTTATGCCTGATAAATTGAAGAGGTAGGATCCTTCAAAAGACTCAAACCCAAAAGCAGGCCAGGGATATAGATCAGTGGTTCTGCCGCCTGCTTTGCAAGTGCAAGGACCTGAGTTCAATTTCCAGTACCAAAAACAAACACAAAAACGAAACAAAAGAAAGCTACACCTGGAAGAAACTTATGAGAAGTAGTCATTTCCTAAGGGTTCTGAATACTGGCAATAAAGCTACTCACCATAAGCAATTTACAGGCATCAACTCAGGAATAAAACTTAAAAAGAAAATAGAAAATGAGAAGACACTTAAACAAGATACAACCCCCACAGACTTTCAGTTCACCAAAGGCAAACCGCAGGAGCAATGAAGTGGAACAATCCAAAAGCCACCCACCTGAACTCTCTGAAGTGGTAACAGCAGAAGTAACAAAGCAGATGAACAAGGCTCTAGAAAAAAAATCAAAGCACAAATAATTTCTCAGATAACTACAGAGATGGTGGCCCAAATGAAAGATACCAATAAAAAAAGAGGAGCTCAGGAGCATGATGGAAGCCATAAACACCCAGCATAGGAAAGAAATGGAATCCATGAAAAAAGATTCAAACAGAGAACCAGGAGATTAAAAACTCCATTGAAAGTTTACAAAGGAGAATGAGCAAATATCATATACAGAAGACAGGACTGCAGTTAGTGATCAGAAAAAGAGACATTTCTTGAAAAGAGACATTTCTTAAAAATTGGCCGGGGATTTAGCTCAGCGGTTCAGTGACCTGCCTTGCAAGGGCAAGGACCCGAGTTCAATCCCCGGTACCAAAAAAAAAAAAAAAAAAAAAAAACGCAAAGGTTCATGAGAAATCAATCCAGCAGCTGCTAGATGATGCAAAGAAGAATAGCGTAAGAATGATTGGAGTCAATGAAAAAGGAGGAGATAGCACAAATAACATAAAAAACTTGTTCTCAGAAGTAATGGCAGAAAACTTCCCAAATAGGGAAAAAGAATTTGACATACAGATAAGTAAGGAATGTAGGACTCCAATTAGCCATGATTTTTTAAAAAATCTTCCCCAAGGCATGTATTAGCCAATATTCCAGAAACTCAACACAAGGACAAATTATTAAAAGCTGTTAGAAAAAAAGAAACAAATTACTTACAAAGGAAAGCCCATCAGAATCATGAAGGACTGCTCAACACAAACTTTCAAGTCAAGGAGCACCAGGAGCAGAGTATTTCAAACCCTAAAGGAAAACAACCTCCAACCTAGACTGATGTACCCTGCAAAACTAAACTTCAAATTAATAGAGAAATAAGATACTTACATGACTAGGAACATCTGAAGAAATTCATGACCACCAAACCAGCACTCCAAAGTGTTCTGAAAGATATTCTAGAAACAATAAAGATTACAACTCCATGAACCCCAACAGAATGAATCTACCAGGCTAGGCAAAAAATTAAACACAAAAGGGAAGAAGGAAGCCAACAAAGAAAAATAAGACAATACATATTAAATATAACCATTGATGTTTTGTTTTTTGGTTTTTTTTTTTAGGAGGGGTACTGGGGATCGAACTCGGGTCCTTGCACTTGCAAGGCAGGCAACAGAACCACTGAGTTAGATCCCCAGCCCAATATAACCATCAGTGTTAATGGTCTCAATTCACCAATCAAAAGAAACAGACTGGAAGAATGGATCAAGAAGCAAGGTCCAATCCAGGCATGGTGGCGCATGCCTGTAATCCCAGCACTTGGGAGGCTGAGGCAGAGAATCGCTGTGAATTCGAGACCATCCTGGGCGACATAGTGAGTTGCC